ATCACGAAATTGTCCCCAGCAGGTAAACGAATTGAAATGTGACTAAAATAGTCGTATGTGGAATCCAAGCAATAAAAATCTACGTAATAAACTTAAGTATTCTATAGCACTGTTGGAATCAATGGTAGCCTATATTTTAAGCAACACTAACAAATTGACATTTGAACACGGTCATGTCAAAACCGAAAACAACATCTCAAATCGTTTTGATTTACCTTGTAGCTTTTTCCACTTGAATAATAGCGAGCGATTGCCAACACTGGTAAAGGCCCTGGCTACGGTAAGTGCTTCTCAGCTTTCTTCTTGCCGCAGTACAGTGAAATAAAAGCCGACTTCATCGATTAATAAACTAACTTACATGCGCGTGATAAATCTTGTTTTGACCCATTCGGTTTCAGGTGTCATGACGTTTATGACGCAACATTTTAAAGGTGATGCGTGACTTTGCAGGCGTTACAGATAGCAATAAGCAATTGTTGTAGTATTTATAGTACCAGTCAACAATTTTCCAGTATACTACTTTCATATTAAAAAAGAAGAAAGGAAGAGGAAAAAGAAGAAGAAGAAGAAGAAAACGAGAGGAAGCGAAATAGATGATAAAGATTTGTTTTGACCGAACTCTCGTAGTCGCTGATGTGTTCGCTGATTTTGCACCTCACCGATTGAGGAAAAAAAATTGAAGTAAAACAAAACGAGCTAAGAAAAATAAAATAAAAAATTTATAAACATGCGAAACGCTTACGTTTTTCATATTTTTCTTTTAAATTGAAAGTACGAGGAAAATCCTTCCCTGAGGCCAACAAAAATTATGCCCGCGTTAGTTTTCGTGTGCCTTGTCACGTCGCTGTACAAAGAACGCTTTAGAACATTATATGACCTTTTGTTTTCTTAAAATGTAGCCTTGTTTCGTTTTAATTGCGTGATTATAAAATATCCTTTTGGCTAGCTGCACAAAGAGTTATTTCAGTTTAGTTTCCTTTACGTCACAGAAGTATATAATGTCTTTTTTCACGCGAACATTTTAGTTTGAAGGAGTTGTCCCTGGAGACTAAAAGCAGCATGTATCAACCATTTTGTCGAAAATTTCACCAGCCAAGACCTCAGGTGCCATATCAAGATGAGAACCGCACAACGCACCCGCCCCATATTTCCTTTTCCTGCTTGATTACACGGACATCAAATAGTTTCACTTTATTATCAGTTGTCAACGTAACAAAACAAAACTGTGAATGACAAAGAGATCAAAATGTTTTGTTAATTTCTTTGCAATAACGACAGGGAATCTTTGAGAGTATATATTTTAAACCTGAATCACTGAAGAGCGTATAACTTACCGTCAAATTGTCCAGTTTTAGCTCACAGTGGACATATCCCTGTTGTTGAACATAACTCAAGGCATTTAGGATCTGTTGAGCTCAGAGTAACACTTGCTTGTGCGCCGTTTGATCTTCAGAGTGTGCAGGAGCACTTTCAGCATGGGAAATGATGTATGATTTGAGGGCGCATTTACAGAAGACAACAAATCTTTCAACTTCTTTTTGTACTGGAATTTATTTATGAATTTCTTAGTTAGAGCCACCATGAAAGGAGTGCTAAGTACCACTGAGGTCAAGCCTTATCGGACCCACACTGAAGCATTTCCAGGCCCTCTTTCTTTTTCGGAACCCTTTCTTTCGTGAAGTTGGTTGCTCAATTGATTCACCCTTGGAACTGCCCTCCTCTGGATTTCCAGAAAGAGGTTCTCATTCTACCTTCCTGATATCTTCTTTCATGATGTTATACTTCTTAGCGCAAAGTTGAATCAGGGCAACGTGGCTTTGGAAAAATGATGTTCCTTGTCTTCCCATTCCTGCACAGCTTTCCGGGCTCGTTCGGAAATCCACTTTAATACTTTATTTTAGTTCTTCCCATGTTAGTTTAGCCTCAGGGATCTCATACCCGTACCACGTATAAAATTTCTGAGCGATGTCGTCTGATTTGAAATAGGTAAGAAGACCTTTAATATTACCTTTGATTATTTGCATTTGGCATTCACCTAGCTCGCTAAGTAGTCGATTGTGAAAGCCCTCTAGTTCAGCCATTCTATCTATCTCTCGTTCCCGATCTTCTTCTCTATTTCCTTGCGTGACATGGTCGTTGTTTTCAACCAACTACAGCTTTGACCAGACGTCCGTGACAGGAGGTCTTCAAGCCACCTAATGAATATTTACAAGAATAATTTACACCGCAAAACTGTCTCCTCAGATATGAATGACGTCGAAACTGAGAAAAAGTAGTAACTAAAGAATCATTTCACCATTAGTTCCTTGCAAACTGAATCTAACGAGATCGCCCACTTATTCTTTCTTTGAATTGTAGATGAGGTCAAAATTGCTCAAGTTTAGCTAATGAAGTGTAACGATTATAATACATTTTTTAATTTAAAACCTTCTTAAATATATCAATTTTCGATTATTTTTCCCCGTAAGTAACAAGCTTTGCTTGTCATACTCAAACAGGTTAAGATACTGACCTAAACATGTCACGTTCTGGGTTATTGTGTCTCCCATTTTAACAACAGGTAAGCTTTAGGGAAAGATTTTACCATCACAAAGTTTCAATGGAGCTCATAATGATAAGTTGAAAGAGTATTCTTTGCCAGTGTATGGAGCACTGTGAGCTAAAACTATGATAAATTATCGTTATTTTGAACAAAGTTTGCTCACCTGGAGTAAATCGGCTGAAGGCTGGTCTGCAAACGAGATTACTTATTCCATGTAAAAGCTTATCAAATTCTTCTGTGATGACGCTCTACATATGTGCACACTGAGTTCTACTGGAAGAGAGATAGAGATCTGCTTCACCGGATTCAGGTCTCCAAACCTTTCAGTAAGTTCAATTTACTTTTGCTTCACTTGTTCGGCATTGTTTGCAGGAATTTGATCCCACCTGTTTAAGACAAATGATGTACACTGGGTAAATAACTTTTCGTTCATTTTTTTATACTTCTGTAGACTATTGGCTTCGCTGGATAAAATAAAAAGGAGCTGTTTTAGGATAATGAAAAGAGAATCAAAATGTAAAATACGTTCGCTGAGGTACCCAAAGCAAAAATGCATATTAACGCAAGAGAAATTACAATATACTTTGCGACTGTTCCACCTAGAATAGCTGGACGTGTCGGGGACAGTTCGCCGAGAGCTTTTTTGACACGAAGTTGTAGAACACAACGGTTTAATCCAGGTCAACTGAACTCGTGATTATGTACGACTTTCAAATTACAGACATTTCCACCAACTTGTGTTGTCTCGAAGTGGAACTAATCACAATGGTCGGTTGCTATGTAAATTCCTCCCGTTGCTATCTTAGAGGTCACGTGATGACGCGTTCACGGCTTGAGCTGATTTCAGGCGTCAAGCTAAAGGGCTTTTTTCAGTCGTTTATTTTACATTGGATAAAGCTTACCAACCTTCTTTTTTTCATATTGAATGACTATGGCCTTTCACTTATGGCAGAAGAAAGAAAAATCAGGTTTTCGAATGACTTCTCCACGAAACGGCTCGTCTAAGATAGGTACGCTACCGGCTAGCAACGGGTTTACAGAAGCCAATACGTCAACACAACCGCTGTGATTTCTGTATTTCTAGAGTCCTGGTACTGAGAGAACAATTTTTTACTTAGGGGGCTCCACTGTTAAGACAAACGCAGAACATAAACGAAGAAAATACACCCAAAATACCTGTCCTCCTCCCCCTGAAAAGTATAATTTTGACCGTTTAGTTACCGAGCGTGCCATAAATCGAAAGTTGAAAGTGGACTTTGGTGTAAATGGCGTCGTTTTCGCCGATTTCTTCGGAGGAATCCAGGTAAAAAATGTCCTGTAAACTCGATTTTCTCCGTTGATCAGTTTAGGCCGCCATCTTGAATTTCCTCAGGCTCAATGTCGAGTGTTTTATTTCATCTGTAGCCCTGAAGGAGACCGTAAATGTTGCGGAAAAAGCCGAAAATGCAGCAAAGGGAAAGGCCATGTGGGCAAATGTGATTCGAAACGACAAGTAAATCGTTTCTGGGAAACATCGCCCATTTTTAACATTCATAAGGAGCGCCAAACGCTCCAAGACAACTTTCGCCATCTTCAAGTCCAAGAAGATGCTTTATCCAAGAAGGAGCAAGATATCTTGGCTTTACAAAGGGAGACAGATTCTCTAGTGGAGGAATCAGGTTAGTTTCCTATTTGTAAGTGGGTTAGTTGCGGCAAGATAAATGGAATTGATTATTATTTATTCATTTATTTGCCGTTTTGGAATTGTCATTATTTTGATGATGATTCCCTATCCTTGTTTATAGAAAGAGCACTGCAAAAATCAAAAGGAGAGAAAGAGACACTAGACAAAGAAATAAGTGAAGCAGAGGAGACACTGAGAGAACTAAAGGAGGCATATGAGAAAGTGAAAAAGCTGTTGGGGCAAGAGGATTATTCCCGAAGACGAAGGAGTGCTGCTAGCACATCATATGAAATGATTAATGATTATAAGTCGAGCACTAGATATAGGAGAAGGGAAGAAACTAAAAACATTTTAGAATTTATTCATGGGGGTTTTGAAGCTTCATTGTATGGGGCATGGGATTTTTTGGCTGCCAATGCAAGTAATGAAACCATGACCAAATTAATGAGTAGTTATAAGAGGGGCCGATTTCTTCAGGGTATTTTTGAGAGAGCCATTAATGATTTTCAGAAGTCAGAAGAAGTACTGAAACAGTCTGTGGCACTTAAATATCAGAGTTATCTGTCTAGAAGAAAGTATAATCTTGTCTGTAAAACACAAAGTTCATTTTTTAATGCTGAAAAAGAAGTCTGGCTGCCACGTAACATTAAATGTCTTGGAGTTGACTTAAGGTTACCCAAGCTCAGCTTCTCAGATGACAATGTTGACAAGTTTGTGAAAAGTTTAGACATTGGTCATGTCACACAGATCCCAGGGGTATCAGGTGTTTCTCGCACAGTCACTGGCCTGGTGTTTATGATTATTGATTTGCACTTGAGAGTTCCCCATCTTTCTCGTAAACTTGTCTGGTTCAATGAAAATGAAAATCATTTTATTTTTCAGTTCTCAGATGATGGAGCTCCTGAAACAAATGAGCTGACAATGTCAATAGGAAGTATGGTGTGCTGGAACTTTGGAGATCAGATACGAAGTAGGGACTTCCAGTACCTCCTCCACTGTGTAAGTGTAAAAGAGAAAGATCAAATAATGCATGACCTCTGGAAGCAGCACACTGAAGAGATGAAAATGTTGGAAGGTAATGTTTTGACTGTTTTTGATAAGGAGTGCACTGTTGAATTTCAGCCAGGAGCAGACATGTCCTGGCAGAGCTGGGCTGCCAATGAACTCAACCAGGCAGCTACATATCCTTCCCATATGCAAATGTTCATAAAGGAAACATGAACACTATGGGGGGTAGTATTGGAGTGGGTAAAGATGACACCTGGAAGCCTTACACTATGGAAATGAGAACCTCTAATACTGAGAAGGTAAACAATTTTATCACCTCTCTTCCCCCAAACCTTTCGGAAAAAATTAAAATTACAGAAATTTGCAGTTTATGGCTGAAAATGGCATCCGACAGTTAGGTCTCCCAAGGATTGGGCATTTTGCAGACAAGTTAAGGCCAGAACCCATGCACTGTGAGATCAATGCCTGGCAGCATTATATTGATCTCCTATATTTAGAGGCAGTAAGAAGAGGAAAGTTTGATCCTTTTGTTTCTGCCCTGTTAGCACCTATAGGGAATAGAGATGGAGATGTTAAGGAGGGACAACCCCAAAAGACTCTTTTGAGGCTTTCTGATATAGACAGTGTTGGGGAGCGTGCCAGAAAGCAGGAAATGTTGCAGAAATCGGAGGAGGACCTAAAACAATACCTGCAGAAGACAGGTTTTCCTCATGTAAGGCATGCAACAGGTGAGGGGGTGTGGACTGGGATACTTGGCTTCAAGAGTAAAAGAACATTTTAGTGATGAAACTAACAGGTATAAAAAAAATTACCAGTTAGGCTTATTGGCAATCAAGCTATTGCATTGGCTCGATATTACTACCGTTTAGTTGACACTTTAGAAAATGAAGATGAAACAGAGGCACAAACAATCCAACGACTGGCTCTTAGCAAGATAGGTGAGTATCTGAGGAATGCTGGGGGGCTTTTTAATAGAATAGAGACCAATTCTGCTCAGGTTGCAGAACTGAAAGAAATGTGTAGTATGTATTTTAACCTGATGTCTTTGTTTTTTTCATCCAGTGTTAATGTCACAACATGGACAATTGGATATGCCATTCCCTATCATGCAAATTTGCTGTTTACAAGGTATGGGGTGGGCTATGGCATTGTCTCTTTGCAGGCTAAAGAGGCCAAACATTCTGGTGTGAAGGAAGATTTGACCTTAACTAACCGGTCAAATGTAAGTACTGCCACTGGTAAATGGTGGCAAGTAATGCGAAGTAATTATGTTCGCTCATTTTACCTCCCAGAACATCAACCAATGCCCTCTTCTTATATCTCACACTACCAATCACGTTCTCCACCACACTGTCACCAATCAAATGTTTGTAATTGTGGTAGAAATAAAGAAAACGATTTGCTCAGTTGTAAAGTTTGTTTCTCCAGTATGAACCTTGTGACTTGTGCAAGTAGCAGAGGTCTGACAGAATCAGTGTTGTGTGCACTAAAACCTGTTGTCTGTAAACAGTGCAATACTCGCTTTGCTGATAACCTGTCATTATTGTCTCATTTAAAGTTTTGCAATGCCACTGAGCTAAGAAAGGTAGCTATACAGCCAACTTTGATGACAGTACCTAGTTTAAAGGAAGCTTTACGAAGTAGAGGATTAAGCACTGCAGGTACTAAGGAAATTCTAATTAAGCGCCTTGAAGGTGCATTGGCTGGGGAGGGGTAGTTGAATTATTTTTTAATCAACAGTTTAAATCTCTCAAAATATTTGATTTTCAAGTTATTTTTCTTGGCCAAGTTGGTGCACAATAAGTATGATATGTTATGAGAATGATAACTAGGCTCTCAACAAATTCTGTGTACCAGTAATGTGAGTAATATACCTACTTCATAAGAAAAATATATTTAAATTGGTGCAAAGTTTTTTAAATTAGCTATGTTTGTCAGAGAGGTTAAACCTGTCCAAATGCAAAAGTACTGTTGTCACTGATATCACTTGGTATGCACTGATATATTACATTTAAAACTTTATAAACCCAATATTTTTTTTACTAACTTGCATTTTAGAGGCAGGGTTTCTGCTCTAATGAATTTATGGAATTTTGTACTTAAAGGTTTGGCCACTTAAGCCTTTACATGCTAACAACAGCATGAATATTCTCTATACTGTTCTCAATATATTTTACAAGGTGTTGACAAGGAGAATTTGCTAAATAATCAAGAGCTTCATTAGTTAATAATTATTTCCCTCATTCTTGTGACCTTATGTTTAATTTGGGGTTAATATTGTAAGAAGAACTAAGATGCTAGACATTGTAAGGGGTCAAAGGGTCAATAACTAATGACCCAGCATTTTGCTTATGTGGACACAATACATTTGTTTTATTAATGGGTTTGTCTTAAATAAAAGGTAAACGAATTTGCAGCTTGATAGTTTTAAGAGTAAGATGAAGTATACACAGATAAATGAAATTTGTATCTAAAAGGAGTAATTCTGTGTACTGATAGATAATTTCATAAATGAGAAAAAAGCTTTCAGCTATTATGTTTAGGTAAAACCATATTTCTATTTATTCACTTCAATGTATTACAGTCTACAAGATACGAAGATTAAATTTTAAAATATCTGCTTGTATTAAAAACATGTTTCCTTTAGAACTTTGTTTCAGATTACATTCAAGGTTGTCATTCTTTTGATGTATGAAGTTTCGTGACAAGGTCTAACAAAACATTAGCAAGTCCTACTGTTAATTAACTGTCAAGCTAGATAGTGTTCAAATTCAATAGCTTTTGCAAATTGGAGTCCTTTGCAAATCCTTCTCGATCATAGCGCTGCACGCAAAATGTGGTTACTACCCTTTGTTGTTTTGTTGAATAAACCATTTGCAGAGGCGTAGTTGGTGTTACAACAACAATTGACTTGCCGCTGTAACTTTGAAGCACGCGACCATCCTCGGGGATTTTCTCGAAGTGCCGCTTCTTGAGAAAATTCTCTCCTTTAAATCTCGCGGGAGACCAAATTTTTTCTGCAGTGTCGAGCCTTTGGAAAGTTAGCGTTATTCTCTCACCATTCTTGGTTGTGTCCGCGCTTCCCCCGTAGCCTTGTACTAAAACCCAGATATGTTTAAAGATTTGAAATGGCATAAAGAGAGTGATAGGCGCCATAAGACCGGTCATTCTAGAGCGAGCGAGCTTCGCATTAATAGAGAGCCCGATCTCCTTTAGGAAGCCATCCACCAAGGGACCTACAAGCTCCAACTTGTTGCCTGTGAGCTCTTCCAACACGGGATTAAGGTCTCTCATCCCGTAATTAGGTTTATTTTCTGCGAAACGAACCCTCCTCAACCATTCTTTCTCCGCAGAGAACTTCATCTCTACGGAGTTGGTATTCCAAAACCGGTCTCCTCTCTCTGTTTCATCCTCCATGCCGAAGTGCCTTAAACAGAGTTTGTTTGATGTGCTCGCGCTGTTATTATTTGCCGCCATTTTTGAATAGGCCTTTACTTTTCGTGCCAACTGCCGCTGATGATTTCTGCGCCAGCGCGCATCAGAGTTGCGGGAGGAAAACCCATGGCAACCGACCATCGTGAATCAATATCAGTTCGTTAATTCGGCCGCTAGTCTGTCCCAACAGGTATATTCCCTAGAAAATAGATTTCGGTTGTTTTATCATACTTCAAGAGAAGCAGCAGCAAGAAAAGCAACTGAGACTCAATAAAGAAACATTTAAACTGAAAATTTAGGTATAATAAAAAGAAAGACGGATAACTGTAATGCCATGCTGTCCGAAGCAATGACTACTATGTGATCTCGTGGGAAAAAATACAGCTCAAGCCACAGTATTTTCTCCAACGATAGTCCAGTTGTTTGGAAATACACTACTGTCTTAATTATTCGTTCACGGTCTACGTTTAGGCAAAAAAATTGAGGAAAGCAACGAGAGCTCACCCTGTTCTCCTGAACTCCACCCGAATTGGAACTGTATATCATATAGCTAAGGTAAAAGGCTTCGCGTATAAAGTGCGAGCAACAGAACAGACGGACGACAGATCCAGTGGCAAGAGGAGTTTTAAGAAGACGAATGGAAAGTCCTCACTGCTTGATCTTATAAAAATAATTTCCCATGTGTGAAATTTGATAAAGCTTTAAACGAGTAGTTCCTCATAGAAAGTGAAGTGCTGCGAGGTTAGCTCGATGTACTTTGAGCCTGTAAAGTATGGCATATTAATTAAGGAAAGGAAGCTAGGGAGGTTTAGTCATAATATAATGCTTTGTAAAAATAATGGAATAGCAAAAATATACAAAAGTACAAAAATGAAGTGTAAATATTTCAGAAACACATTATTTGTAAAAGATGTTTTTAATTTTTGGAGAAGGGTATGGATCTTTCACTTTCAAAATTTTGGTTTCTTTTACTCCCACAGATACTCAATGGTTTCCTTCACCCCTCCCTCTTTCGCTGTAGTAGATAGCCTAATAGCCTAAAAATGAGCAGATAATATGGCTACCCCACCACCACCTGATACAACATACACACATGCATAGACAACCCTTTAACCTTTTTGAAAAGTAATATGTAACACTTACCAATAATAAGTTTGCAAACTAACAGGTTTAACAGTTCAATAATAGGCCTTGAGCCAAAAGTAAGGGTTAATTATTTTTGAGAAAATTATTATTTTTTTTATTTCTCATCCAGTTTGTACATTTGATGAACGATTAATTTTGTGTCATAAGCTGTTGTTCATACAGAAATGGTAAGAAGAGATGACTTAATATGTATGTTTGTCACTTCACTTGCAATATTCTTAGTAGGGTGTTTTGAGTCATGGTCCAGTAGCATATTCTCAAATTTTCTTGCAAAACCTTGGAAACCATAGCACCTTGTAGTGCTGAAGTGATGCAGTTAGAATAGTACCAATCGATGGTTATCAATTTTCATAGTCCTACCGTTGAAGTGTTATCCTTAACATGAAGAGAATACAGCAAGTAATTAAACATAACGAAACTTTTATATTAATTGAATGTCAAGGAGATAAACTACATATAAAAAAGGCTGTCTTGCTACAGAAAGGTGAATTATGTTGATGTAAAACTATATCACATACTATACCAGTTAAAGAAGGTGTCTCAATAAGTTGCTCAGGTTCATGCAATGGTTTTTTGGAAATTTTCTAATTCGCTACATTTCAACTGTTCACCTCCTGAGGTGTCGAGATACCTTTGGGAATGCAAACTTTCAACTTAAGGTTTTCAAGCTTGTATGTTTCATAAGGAACAAGAACATTTACGATTACCTTGATGAATACTTCTACCAACAATCAAATTAGCGTTTGCCATTTTAACATTTGAACTTACCTCGCTTTCGCCTCAAAACTCCATAAACCTCACTGGTGCAAAAGAAAATTCGTGAGTGAGGGGTGTAACTTCGTTGCGTACGCGAGACAACAGGGAAAATCAAAATCTGAAAGAAAGAAGTGACACTGTGGATTCCTTACTTATTCCCCACACCACAGACAGTTTCTTGTGTTGTTTGTGTGTACTTCAGCACTAGGCGCTGGAATCCAGGGGAGTGGGGGGAGGGGGGCTCGTGAAAGTTACCTTGGAGTGAGGCCTAAGGGGTACAGTAGCCTCTGAGGAGACTCTCATAAGTCTCGTTTGTTTACATTTTAATCACACTAAATTTGCTAGTAATTTGACCCATTTCACTGAAAAGTTATCAAAAAATTGTCACTTTTCCAGAGGCTGGAATCGGAAAACAATTGCGTCTCATTTTCGAGTTGGAACCCAATGGATCTCCCCTTGGATCTCCAAATTAACTTCAGCAAGTGGGATTAATACCCAACCAATAAAGCTCACCTTATAGCTAGCAAAACGAGGTACCGATCCATCCAAATGGCTTACAGCATAGAATAATGGTTGAAAAAATTGATCTTTGTTCTCCGTCACGCTTTTTTCATGTGACCACTGAAGGGGTCACATTATGGACTAGAGTAAAATTAATTCAAAATTGCCCTTGCATATCGGAAAAGTATGTCTGTTATGAAATATCGATGTCTACAACATGTTACTTCATAAGGATATGACTTTAATATTTACAGATCTATCATAAGTATTCGCAAAACTCGGCTCCTCTCTCTGTTACGTCTCATAGGAGCAAAAAGTGAAGGCGATTTTTTTGTGCAGAAAACGTTTCCGGCCATTTATTTACACAAGGTCTAATCCAAACCATGATTTTACGCAATCAGTGGGTCTCGGGATTTGTATATAAGAAGGTTGACTTGGTTAGTTAAACGTCCTTCTACTGTTAGCTTTCAACCCTCTTGACTCTCTTAACAATAGTAAATGTTCAAATAAAGAGTTCAATTAAATTTAGAATTGTTTAGGACGCGGTTTTGTCTACCAACGGCTACACTTTGTTTTAAATAATCAGACATTTGGTAGTTATTCTACCGGAAAGTATTATTGAATGCCTGATAACGTCCGTACTGAATTGCCAGTCGAAAACTGAATACCCTTTCAGATTGCGTTTTAGACCCTGCTTCTTGCTTCACGCCCAGGACGTAGTATGATGACAGTACTGTATGCCTTAACATGTACCTTCTACCTAATCTGTAGACAATAGTCCGTATTGACCAAACAATACGTGTATTCATGAATTAATCTTTACTGCTTTAATAGAATACCATTTTTAACCTATTGCTATGCACTAGTCTGAGAGCAACGTCCAATCAGTCCGAAAAATGGAAGGCATGGGCCCTAAAGACAAAAAATGAAGTCATCATTACCTCACTGATTGAGCAACGGAATCTTACGCATTTCATCATATAGGGTTCCCCCCCTCCTTTGCAAGATTCCTCTGAATACTTCAGTCACGCCTTGTGTACACCAGAGCGAAACGGTAAAGATCTGCCGCAATGGACTGACTCGATGCTGTAGTGGATAGGCTATTTAGAGGTCATTTCCTTTGCGTGCCTGCTTCCATTTTAGTTACCTTCGGGGTTCATCCAATATGGCTACAAGCAAAGCAAAAACCATTGATGGTATTGATGATTTTAAAGAAATGCTTGAAGTGATGACAGCCCTTGAAATTTCATCGGGAGGATTAAAGACGTTAGACGAGATGAAAAGTCGAGTAAAGTCTGAATTAGAACAGCTTCCTAACATCCCCAGTTGGACTGCTGGTCAGGTAAACGTTTTGTATATCGAAAAAAGTCTCTATAATTTTCTAGAACGCTGTTTCTCATCTCAAATTGTTTAGAGGATGCCAAACGGTAACAGCGTTGTCGAACTTTTCTTTGTGTCGTCAATAAACAGATATGAATTTAACTCTGGGTTTTACTCGCTCCCGTTTTTGGTCCTGTATTTTTAAATTTTAAACTCCATTTAAACAATTCATCACGCATGAGATTACCATCATTAACTCCTCATACAATTTTTTCACAAACTTTCACGTGTTTGTGAGGTATGGAGTGCAAAAGTTTTTTGTCGCTGTCACAATTAACCTCAAAATTTAAAGTGGTTTGGGAGCTTTTTAAGGGTTTCCAATGCTAGTCGGAGCACGAAAAGAAACATGCGAAAAGGGACTCACGAAGGAAGCCTTATTAGAGCGACGAAACATTTTGAATTGAATTCATAACATTGTGATCCAAGCAGGACATTGGGAGGACACGAATAAAGCTTGTAAATCAAAAGCCGTTTGGCAATTCAGTTAAGATGCTTTTCGAGTGTTCTTCTAACACTCCAAATTACTTTATTCTCTTATAAAACCCGGAAAATATTTTATTGCCTTTATGAAATTATCATAAAGAGAGAACAATAAATGTACCAGCTATTCTGTGATTTAGTCGCTGATTTTTTCATTAGATCCGCTAAGAACAACTAAAACCAATATTAGTTAATTAATATATATCTACTGCAAGAAAATGAACTCCAGGCGAGCGGCAACGACTGCATTGATAAATAAGATGGCACCACGACCTAAGCGAAATCGTACTGAAAACTTAGAAAAACTTTTCGCATGCAAATTGAAGCAAAAACTTTAATTTGTTACGGTACACTGACTACTTCGAAGTAAACGACGAAAACGCGAAACTTGCTAGTTCGTGAGTGTTTTTTTATTTTGTATGTTTCTTCAGCATAACGGTTCTTTGCACAGATTCAACTCGAGAAATTTTTCCCTTCTTGTGATGTTCATGATAAATTCCTAAAAAAATTCGGTTTCGCTGAATTATGACGGATGAAGAGGAGCAAATTAAAACACGACATGCTGAGCCATGGGCAGAATCTCAATCGCCGTCAATTAATTTTAATCGCGATGCAGTATTTTCCTTTCATTTAAATTCTCTCACTTCTTCCATTTGAATCAGCGGTTTTACTGAGCCTTCCACAGAGTCAAAAGTGAGAGCTATAAAAAAGCTTGCACCTGGTAAAAATTTAAAATTGCAAACTCATATCGTTGACGATAAACAAGCGGAATCGTTTCGAACTCCAACCTAATGATTTTCTTTTGTTATGTAGAGAAGATCTTAGAAAATTTTCGAAGAAAATGCTCCTTTAAGTTATTGCTACTTAAGAACTGAAGAAATGAAAAAAGTAACTTTCGTTTTTTAGCTCCATTATTATTCAGACGAGAGTGCAACCGTCCCATTGCAATTTGAACAATCGTCTTGTTCATAAAATAAAAGTTACCTTATCAGAGGGACGTTAGTGTATGAATAGTCCTCTTTCATCCGAATTCAACTTTCCAATGCTTTGATTATCCCTGCGGGTGTTTCTGTTGTAATAAAACAAGCTTGGACAATGGATTGATTGATCCGATGATGCTTGCTGCGTACAGTTCTTCTTTGAAATACAATAATGACTGCTGGAACCTTTTAAGTATCATTCTCAGTCACGATACCAGAATCTCTCCTAAACAGTTACAATTTCACTATACAAAACAGCCATTTCTTGTACATTTACATGCGAACTTCTCATTTATCCGTAGACCTTCTCTGTTTTATCAAAAATAAAAGAGCAAGATGCCAAGGTTAAAGAATTCCTGCTGAGCTTTTACCACGAAGTTGAAACGTGTTATGATGATCTAGATGACAAAATTCAAACTCTGCTGCAGAAAAAAATGGGTGATGTAAAGGAAAAAATGAAAAGCTATCAAATAAAAAATGAAACAAGAAGATTACTGCCTTCTAGTGGCAGGTACATTTAATTGTATTATTTCTTTGAGGTCTTATAAAAAAGTATGTGTTGTTTGGGGTTGAGAAAAGAGCAGAGAGATTTGTTATGAATTAAAAACAGTTTACGCACCCATTTCCATGGGAAAAAATTTTAACCTGTCCTAAAATACCGATTGCGCCCACTCCTTTCATGAAAATATTTCACACTCAGAGGTGAAGAGCAGCCTATCATATTATACTTCATACCTCAGCAACAACACAGAGAAAGAGAGCCTAATTACACAGGATTGTTACAACTCCAAATTGTTAGCAGACCAGTGCTGTTTGAATAACCATGACCACCGATGTGTTTCATTTAAAGGTGAAACTGGATCTGGAAAAAGCAGTTTGATTAATCTCATTCTTGGGGAAGAGCTTCTTCCCTATTCTATTCTAAGCACCACGTCCACCATATGCGAGTTGAAATACGGAGAAGAACGTAGAATTGTTGCCCACTATAAAGACAAAGACCCGGAAACGTTATTGCCCATGGAAACTTTCAACTTGGTTGAGCCTAAAGCTTCTGGAAAAAGTTACCATGACCAGATCTTTCCATTTGTCCAGAGTGGTCGGGAAATAGGCTCAGTTTACAAGAAGGTAGAACTCTTCTGGCCTCACAAACTTTTGAAGGTACCATTGTCTAGTTTTGTTTGTATCTCGGTTTGGATGTAATATTTACTTATGAACTTTTTAAATCGTGAAGTGAAAAGCAGAAATATAAATCCAAAGGATCTTCAGAACACCCTTCTCGCGATAAATTTCAATTTCTTTGCGAGTATGATTATACAATCGATTTCGAAAACGTCAGCACCTTAAAAGTACGATCTATGAATGATGAGACCTAAAGGCTTTATTGGAAATGCTCGCACAGTTACATAATCAGTGCTTTTCTTTCTCATTATTTATGGAAAACCTTTCTTCCTGATAATTCTTTTCTTCCAGGAAGGCGTGGATGGCTTTTCTCATTCACTATGTGCAACTAATTTTAGTTATCATCCACATGTATACCAGTGAAGCCGTTGGGTCTTATCGTTCATTCCTAAGCCTTTTTAGGTGTCAACGTTTTTGAAATCGAGTTAATGTAATTGTTATTACAATTAGGCACTTTCAACTATGTAGGAGAAAATAGCCTTAGAATATCATTGGTTCGTTTTCAGAATGGAGTTGTTATCATTGACAGTCCCGGTGTTGGTGAGTCTGAAATCATGGATGAAATAGTTAGAGAGTATCTGCCTGAGGCCTTTGCATTTATTTATGTCATCAACTGCACAAACGCTGGAGGAGTTCAGAAAGATAGAGTAAGTCTAATTAGGAAATACAATTTGCAATAGCTTTTCATCAGCATCTGTTATAGGTGTATCGGAAACACGCCGTGCTCAGCGTGGAACATTCCGACGCAAGTCATACCATAACTCAAAGCAAGTTAAAAAACTACAACAAACCTCGCAGGATCTCTTTAAGGAAGATAAAAAGGTTCTCAACTCTGATTGATTTATCTCTGGTGTAACATCAAAACGAGTTAAATTTGACTTTCTTTCCACATTTCATCAGTCATTTGATAGCAGTCACATGAAAGATACATTTGTATTTTATTATGACAAATGATAGATTTATGAAAAATCAAAGTGACTACTGATTCGAAATCATAGTGATTCAAAATGAAAGGATTACAAGACAAAGTAACCTTATATGGTAAATTACAGTTGGGAAAGTTGCTGGAGGGCGTCAAAGAAAAACGTAAGGAAGAAGAGTTTACATCCACCTGTGCTTTGTTCGTGTGTCACAAGTGGGATCAAGTGAAAGAAAAAAAAGAAGAAAAGAAAGTGGAGAACCATGTCATCGAAAAGTTAAAGAAGTTCTATCCTGATATTGTCCCAGAGAAACAGGTCGTTCAAATGTCAACGAAGAATGCCAGCATAGCCCAAAACTACGGGATCGTAACCAAAAGATTTGTTTCTCTGATGAATTGTATGAGATCTATGGTTTTAAGAAGCGTCAAAGCCAGGCTGGAATTTTATTGGAGGTAAGCATCTAACTGTTAGTATTCTCCTATAGTCATATGTTCATATGCATCGGTTAATGCGAGGTGAAAAGAAACACAACCAGTGTTTCTTTTTGGAGTGTGGTAGAAAATTGGCGAACGGGTTAAGTAGTTGCACGAAACATTTCAAAATAGGTAAGTAGCATTACATGGTCTGAATCAATGCCGAAGCAAAGGTTTTTGCTCATTAATAGAAGCTTTCAAGGGGTCAGTAAAACAGTTGTTGTCTACATTTGTATCGCCTCGACAATACTCTGTTGATCCTTGGTATTGTGTTGGTTTCATTAGATGGCTATATGGACTTCTTTCTCAAATAGTTTACCACGCAAAGGTCCATATGAAAAATACTACAAGAGAACAGGAAGAAATCCTGAAATTAATTAACTCTGTTAGCGTTCGTTTGAGTTACATCGAAGAAAAACAAAATGAAGTCATGAAAGACCTCCACAACCATCTGGAGAGTCGAACCAAGAGTGCAGTAAAAACCCTTTCCGATTATCTTTGTTCGGATGATATAAGATCGCAATTTACTTCGTGGACCTCAGATAAGGTACCAAAGACAGAGCCATCTTGGGAGGTGACAGAGAGCAACATCACAAAGGTGATGGAAAACCGCCTGCAAGAGATCATAAAACGTTGGGAAGAAGACAACCATGTGTTTACAGATACTCGTGAGTCTCTTGTTCGGCACTTCAAGGAACGGTGCAATTTTCTTGAAGGAGAACTCCGTATTCTACAGGAAGCTCTATTATCTGACGAAATCATGCCACAAGATCATAGTGAAACAGGCTTCGGACTCACCATAAAGGACAAGATTGCCATTTTTGTTACAAGCCCTATCTGGGTTCCCCTTTCTCTCATTGTCTTGGTGGTTGGTGCCCCTAAAGTTGGCGTAATGGCGATTATGAGCAAGTTGGAGGACAAAAGAAGGATCAGGAAATATGACGAAGACAAGTGTGCTTTCATGAGACAAGCATCCACCGAATACTTGAATGAAGTTACTAAAAAAGAAGATGTGCTCATGAACTTCGTGAAGGACCAACTGAAAGATGCCGCTCTGTGTCTGAAGCAAATTGAAGCCCGTATTCCAGAGCTGATTGAGGCTGACCATTCTTTGTGTAAACAACTTTTGGAGGAAAAAAAATCAACAAAAGACGTAAGAGACACTTATATACCGATTTTGGATGCAGCTTCAGAGATCAGAGGTCGTCTGGCCGTTTTTGGACTTGAAGAGGGCCTCGCAGCCGGTATCACCAGCGAGATTTTGGACCTAAAAGGTCAATCTGACTGTCTGGGTCGGGGTGCTTTTGCCTCTGTTTATAGAGGAATGATGAAAACTGAGAACGGAGACGAACAAACTGTGGCAGTGAAGATTTTCGCCGAATCGCTTAAAGCAGATAATGCTTGCGACATTGTCGATGAAATTGAATTTTTAAAGTAATTAATTAAAATTTTCCCAAAGCTTCATTATTTAAATACATTTGATAAATATCCTGACTGACGAAGTAAGCAAAGCCCAAGAGAAAGCCTCCTTAAAGCATACAGAACTGTTGCACGACCACTATTCTTGATCTCGATCATTATTACATAAATTATTTAATTGATTCTCAGGCGCGTCATTATAAGATTTTGACGGGGTAACCTTATGATTTGCACGCAGCCCTTCCCATCGAGAGGTTAGCGTCGAAGTTCTAGCCGGTACTCTGATGCATATTTTTCATCATGAGTCGAAATGATATTCCGGCGTACCGTTGGGGAAACCTGACTGAGCGCTGTTCGGGAAAACTTGCGAAGGATTACCTTCTGTCTCAAAATAGCCAGCATTATGCAAATATGTTCAGTCGTTTAGAAACAAGATCAGCCACTTGGCGTGCTGTGGTCTTTTGCATTGCTATACTGGCACAACACGTTTTGTAGAGTAAACGATAGAGGAAAATAGGAAAAGATATCTATGTACGATAATAAGACGACTAAGGGTATGTTTCTTTGGGCTTCTACCTGTAGAGACGATATGCGGAAACATTTTCAGGATTTTATTTTCTCTTCCTATGAAATGAAAGAAAGTAAATTAACAACATGACTTCCTACAGCTTTTCTTCTTTAATTTAAAAAAACTTGAATTCATGGACGTTCATCTTTACAAATTTTCTTTCGACAACTGAAACTTTTGTGCTTATACTTTCTTCACCAGAAAATTAAAGCATCCCAACGTTGTCACTTTTCATGGCACATCGCTTCTAAAGGAAGATGGCGAAACCCGAGTAATACTAGTCATGGAATACTGCAAGGAAAATTTAAAGAATCGCATTTTCAGTAATCCAGAAAGAGCCCCTGCGAAGTCTAAGAATATCGATGCCAAAACAGACGCCTGTCAATGGATAAAGCAGATAGTCACTGCCCTGTCCTTCATTCATGATCAAAAAGTCGTTCACAGAGATCTCAAACTGGATAATATATTGGTATGGAACTAAGAGAAACGTTATAGTTGGTGGCGAAATAAAACACACGCCTTACCATCAGACTAAACTTTTCATTTGGGCACTTAAAGCTACTCTTTGGCTCTTGGAAAATCTGTCAATGACCAAGCTTTTTATGTTAAGATTGCTCATACGAGAGAGAAAAGCTCTTTTTTTCTTTTACAGGCCTAAAGATCTCTTTACTGCACAAAACGCAAACAAAAAAAAGGAAGGAATTAGTTTGACCAGCATTGAGCTATTTTTATCTAAGATTTTAATCTAATTCTTATAAAAAGCAAATTATAATTCCTTTAACACGTCTTTCAGTGACTAGTCCTTCGAAAGAATCTTCAAAACAATCCCGTTGTAATGTGATGATCATGACATAATTCTAGATCATCCTTGTGCGCATCATTTATCTTTTTTTCTTTTCACTTTAAAAGCTGTCAGCGACAAATGAAGTGAAGATAACCGACGTTGGCGTTTCCAAGGATGTGAACAAGATCACAGGAACTTTGGCAGGAACACCTGTTTATGTGGCACCGGAAGTGTTTCACTCTCAGCTGTATGACACGAAAGCAGACATATACAGCCTGGGGATAATTTTATGGGAGATGTGGTATGGGCAGCAGGCCTTCAGTGAATTCAGTGACATACCAAGTCATGTAGCTCTCTTTAACATGGTGGATGAGGGCCTTCGCCCAAAACATGTGAAAGGCTGTAATGAGCCGCCACGCCGCTGGAAAGATTTGATGGAGAGTTGCTGGAACAAAAAACCAGCGGAACGCCCATCAGCTTCGCATTGCCTCAAGGAAGCTATTGAACTTCATAGAGAGGCAATGGAAGTTCTGTAATTTGTCGCAATTACGACTAGGACATGTGGGAAAACTTAACATTGCGAGAAAACTATATATTGCCCATGGTACACTTGAATGTAGAAGAAGGATTGATCAGTTTGCTTGTAGCTTAGTTTATGCAAATTCTATTTCCTAACCAAAAGTAGTTTTGTTTCTGGTTGAGATATTTTTGATGAGCGGAAAGACGAAATGATTAGATTTTACTGTCCATTCTTTCGTCTTGATACATGCCACCCTCCACTAAGGAATCAGGAGTAATGTTTTTAATGATTACAATAATATTTGTTGGTGATATATTTCTAATCTATGTATTTTAATACTTTACCTTGAATTTAGGTTCCGGGATCAATAATCGGAGGTCTTGACCAAGAGATTTAACACAGAAACTGCTACTGAGAGAAACAGTTCGTAAATCCTAGCTTCATATTCTCAGATGCTAATTTAAGGAAGGAGTGAATCACCATCCAAGTTTAGGCAAGAAAGATGCTAAGAAAATTTTTTTTTTTTTTTTTCAGAGGCCACGGTAACGAATCCTGCAATCTGATTGGTTCTTTAACCGGTCAGTATTTTCCTATCTCTGCCCACGGGTAACGGTAACGCTTTCGTGAGTCGCCGAGTACATCCCTACTTTCGTTGCCATTTTTCATAAATATATCTCGTTTTTCCGGCTGGGCAGTATTTTTAACCAAAGACGTCTGTCACTACCTCAAGCCGATAAATAACTTATCAATCCTCTCGTTTCTCTTTCTCAAATCACTGTGGTTGACAAAAAAATATTGTTTTCGGAATTTATTTGTTAAGCAATAGTGTCATTACGTTGGTTGAGGAGCGGCCTAAAAACCGTCTGCAATTAATTTTAATCGTTCACAATAAGTACCTAGAAGTTAAAACGTGAGATATTTGGCTACAGTTAAACTAATCGATGGAACGTTCATTCATTTAATATCTGAATTTTCTCAAATAATTTGTTCCTAGTGAAAGGGTGAGCGAAGTTTTAATTTCAGTTCTACAACAAATATACGCTCTCGGTGAGTCTTTCCAAATCCGTTCAATTTGGACATTTAAACCGTAACTTGCACAACAGAAACTGAAGGAGATAAAGTTAAACCTTAAATCTCCTTGTGTCTCGTTGGAGTGTATCACTCGAATTTAGTTTTTATGGAGGAAAGACCAGATTTACACATGCCATTGCAAGAAACAAACGAGCAAACTCTCACAACTTCAAAATGAAAAAAATTGAATTTACTTACAATTACTTTCCTCGCCGTTTACCTAATGAACAGAGGTAAATCTTCGTGTATGAATTAATCCTCGATGAGAGTGTATAATACTTTTCGTAAGATCATTGACTATTTTTAAAGAAAACATTGTCGTGACAGTTCTTGCCAAACTAGTTTGTTTTTTTTTTTTCAAAAGTGTACATGCGCTTTTTTTTTCCTTACGCGCTCTCTAATTGACAGGTATCAGTTTGTGACAGATAATTGTAAAAATAATGTTTCAAAGTTTATTTGGAAGCCTTTTAAATCACCTTTATCATTACGCAAGTGGAAATGTTTCAGTAAAGCATCTCTCTTTAATTTGCATCACCTCTGTTTTAACTACCATTTACATTTTTACTAAAAAATAATAGATATGTTATTTACTGGCTAAGGGTCGGTCCGTCTGGTGAAAAACTGTGAACTCGGTAACAGTTTTTCGCAATACGGACCTCTCAACCGGCAAATAACATATATGTAATTTGTCGACGACTGCGATTGTTTTCGACCATCAGTTGAAAAATCAAAAATACTATTGTTTGCATACACGGCTAGGTAAATATTTCCTTTAGGCGCCTAGATGAACCATTGCCTATTATCGCTTTATTATTAGATAAAAATTTATAATCACGTTCATTGGTTTTTTTGCGCCCCTTAATGAGAAGAAGCTTTTCTCTGAGAGGTGTGTCATTTGTCTTTTTTTTTTTTAAATTTTGGGCTGTTCAGATTGCATATCGCGTGTCCATGACCAGATGAGTTCGTTATCCTTCTGTTTACTATGCAGCTCTGCTATAAGATAACAATTATGGCATTAATTTAGAATCTCAGAATCTGGTTTTTAAATTTACTTTTTCATTCATTTTTCGATATTTAAACAATTATCTCTCATTCTTGCACTATCGCACCCCTAAATGTTCAATTTGCTTGAGAAAGGAATTGTTTCCACAATTGTCTAAGTGGCTTCATGTTGAGCATACCACCCACGACAATGTAACATTCTTCCACTGAATTTTCAAATATTCCTTACTCAGTCAATTTTTCCAGTTTTGGCTATTTAATGAATGACTAAACGCATCTTTTATTTCAGCTTTCAATTGCTTCACTGTCCTTGGTCCTTGACAAGGAATATCGAGCGCGTCCGTGCCTTGAGGTATTTCAAATAGATCATCCATATCGCTGGGTTTTTTGTTTTCTTTGATGCCATATTCACATGTATCCTGTTGAGCGACCGCCAAAATTAATTGCATCATACTCGAATGAAGACAGCGATAAAAAATTGTTCTATGCTGCATTTCCGCATGGCTACTTCATAGGCTTCTCAGTCATCAGGAAAAGATAATTGTAGCAGTTTTCGTGCGTGCTCGAAGCACGACAGAGAGTCTTAATGGCGCGATGGCTGCTATGACTTACGGTTAAAATTTAGGCCATTTTACGGCTTACGGTTAACTTTCATTGTGATTAAGTGAAAAATTTTAACGCTTAACGGTTAAAAAACTTGTCAATTTTTACGCCTAACAGTTAACGGTTAACCCCATCGAGACCCTCATGATAGAGGTCATCTCGTGCCTAGTGGTGTTGGCAATGAAAATGATTGTTGTTTATTGATTTTCTGCCATGGTCATGATAAGGTTTTACCATGAAGAAGATTAAAACTATACCATTTACAGCTATTTTTTTTTGTTCTCATCATTTCGTCTTTGGAATGCGCAGGCCAAGTATTTTCAGGTTTGGGAAATGATTCGATTTTTGAGCGAGCATTTTCAGAAGTAAAAGACAATCATCACTTTTGTCTAAGACGGTGAAGACGGATGAAGATGCGTTCTAAAGAAGTGAATGATATTTAGATGTCTGAGGTATCTGAATGATGGAAGAAAAATTAGGAGAAAGGTTTATGATTCAAGGTAAATACTTACTTTAAGGTACGTACCTTCTTTTTTATAAACTTCAAATCTGTTTTGTGTCTGGAGGGGAGGATGGAGGATGGATTACTTGTTCTACCTCAAGGTACTTTGAAGTTCTGAATAAAAGATTAACATTTATGGTGAAGAACTGCAGTGTACTGTATGATGAAAAATTCCTGAAGGTTGCCCTCTTGCCACTACTCTGAACACTTCATCAGTCATCACTTCATCAGGAAGTTCGCTTTGAATAAACAAAAGCGACGCCATTTCGATCTGTTTAGGCAGTATAGGGTGATAAAATAGTGACATAATTCTCAGTAGGGTGGTTATCCCCCTCTGAACCTTCCTTCTAATTTCTTTAATTGAGAATTTTCTCATCATGGTGGCAAAGAAAACGCGAGCCATCGATGAAATCGATGAACTCGAAAAAATGTTTCAAGCAATGGCTGCGCCTGTAATCTCATGACATGGATTCAAGTCCCTGTAGGAGACGATAGATAGGGTTGAGACTGAATTAACACAATCTCTAAGCATATCTTGTTGGATGGCCGGTCAGGTAAGAGTTTCTGCAACTTTCAGAATTTATATCAATTTTCTTGAACCTCTAATCATTTCTCAGTTTTCTCGAATAAAAAAAATCTCTAGGATATTTGAGAGATCTCCGGTGCTATTTCAGTGATCCTATCTTTTCACTGAATGGGAAAATCTCTTAAAGTTTATTGTGTTCTGTTGTAATGAACATGAATAAACCAAATTAAGGGTAAACTCTATCATTTTACCATTTAAAATAAATACCAATTGTGGCTCAATAGAACGTTTCACCTAGTGAAGTTCCCGTGAACCTGCTTTCATGCTCCCTAACTCACCATAATCATGGATATTTTTGCCCTGAAAGTTGTGTTTTCAAGAACTTTAGCATCGACAACACTATAATATTAGTTTACTTTGCAAAATTCCGTTTACCGATAGTCAAGCCTCTTGAATGTTTTTATAATAACGCTTTAATACTCACAGAAAAGTTGTAACTCGCCAAACGCGGTCTCAAATATCAGGATAAATCAAATAAACACTTGCAACCATAAATAATCCGTTCTATCTATCACGTTGAAAATGTAACTGGTGACCTGTAAAAATGGTTATTCCTGGGAAATCTTCAATGAGGCTACTTTTGCACAAAGCGATATTCTCGCCAGACGTAAACTCATCGCTGTTGAACTTTGAAAGAAGAAAACTTGTATATAATTATGAGTAAACACAGCTTGAAGAGAATGCTCTTTTGGTTTCGAATTCGATCCGAATTACAGCCATTTTCTAATATCAAAACGACTTGCAATCATTTGAAGTCCCTCCAGGTATGTACTTGCACAAAATACAGTGATTTCATTATCGCTCGAGCTTGGTATCTATAACATTGTTGACATTACTCTGTCTTGCCCCTCAGTAATTTCATTAGGAAACTGTACGGATGTATCCTTCTTGAGGGCAAATGATAGAAATTGAAAGTCACTAAAACATACAGTGGCTGTTAAAAACACTAGCCAGAAGGCTCATTTTTATTTAATTGATTATTGATTCGAAAAAGAAGCGGTTTTTGAAAACATTTAACGATAAAAAATTTCGATAAAAAATTTCGTAAAAAGCATATTTAAGATATGTTGACGACGTTTCGACGTTTGGCTAACGTCATTATCAAATCAAAGGGTGAAAGATAAAAAATGGTTAAATACTAAAAAAAAAATTAGGTCATGGAATGTTCTTTTAAACAAAGGGTTTTGCGCGAATGGAATCGGTCTGGGTGTTGAGACTAGGATTGCGCTGCTTGATGAAAAGCATCTCAAAGATAAGACAGTCAAATTTTCCTTGGCAATTTTTTAGAATGCGGAATTGGCTTTCTTTGGGGAGGTTTGTATTCCCACGGGCTGTCGAAAAGTCAGTGGTTTACCGATCGCAAAGTTTTTATGTTCAACGATACGTTGATGAAGGTGTCGAGCTGTAAAGCCGACATAATCTGAATCACACAGATCACATGTAAAAAAATAAATAGTAATTCTCTTTTTTTGACTCGCCACAAGTCAAAAATGATTTTTGGCCAGACCACCCCCGTGAACAGCGATCGAAAGCGTAAATTTCAAAGATTTTGTCCGGCGCGCAGCGACTGCAACAATGCAGCTCACAGAATTCTATGTTGCTACAAGTTACAAGATGTATTCAGTTAGTTCACAGACAAAATATGGAAACTTCAGCTGAAATATTTTTCATATCAGCGTGATCTGAGGAGACCCTTCTCTTCGACCTTAATTTGCATATTAAAAATTAACTTCTTTGTACGAAAGAATTCTCAAAATTCAGGCGTTAATGGGGCTGAAAAAGCATATCAGTGCATAGTTTATACACCAATGAGGTCACGGATTGTCTCAAACCCGCGGTTATAGCTTCCATACACCAACTTCTTAAAACAACGCAAATCCATGTGTTTGTTCAATTGCGCTCGTGTCAAAGGTCAGTTGCATGATTCTGAAAATTGACCAAGATCTCCTTTTGACCGTTCAAACTTCGTTCGTTTATTTTTTACGTTGTGGATTTTAGGTTTTCATAGCAACTGAATGGAGAATAGATGCCGAGTTGTCCTAGAACGTTGCGTAAACATGATCGGTCGTAACGCTCGCGCGCTTGTGTGACTTACAAAGTAGACAACGGTGATCAGAAGGCGCCTTCTCGATAATTAACGTTGAAATACAGGTCATGAATTACGCACAGTGTGGAGAAGATCAAAATTGAAGAATAAAATTCGGCACTCTGGTCATAACAGACATATCGCGTTTCTTAAAAGGACACAAAAACAAGTTAAAATAGGTTACAGTGTTTATAGTTACAAAACAACACGCATACACTGAAACAATTCTTGCAGTTTCTCCCGAGATTTAGTACACACTGAACCCGATGAACTATCCCTCCTTTCTGCAAATTTGTTCCCGTCATTAATGATGTTATGCTCTTATAGACCACGACGGTTTTGAGCGACAAACTCGACATTTCCCTGCGACCATCAAAATCAACTGGACAAACCCAGCTTGATGTATTGCGTGACGTGATTGTGCAAACTTTTCTCTTTGTCTTACAACCTGTTTCGCGGGTTGAAACCAAAATTTAGTTAATATCTCGAATTAGAATCGAAAGTAATTAATAATAGACTGAAGAATTTTACATTTTAATGAGAATTTTATCTTTTAAAATGTTTATTTTATTCATGGGAAGCAAAGATTGGAGTTACTTTGGGTATTTCAGCCCTGATTTGGAGAAAATTTAACAGTTATTGGTATGTTCTAAACATCAGTACACCTGAGAAATGTGGTAAAAGTATTTTGTAGCAAAAAGAGGAATGTGAGGCAGTGAAAGGAGACTGAGTATTCAACGCTATTCGTCGTAAAAGCTGCCACCAGCTTGTTATTGAACTCACTAAAATTTACCTGGCAGACATTAACTTTCTTTTGTCGCGAAACTCGTGGATTTTACAACTTTGAAACGACGTATGATGAATCCTGAAACTGGAGTTTGAGTCCATTGGAAAACTATGTTAGTTTTGAATCATGAGTCATGAGCAGATCAAGCGCTGACGAAATTTGACAATTTTGATATTTTAAGCGGATGCAAAAATCGAGACAAAAATTGGTCATGACACAATTTGTCCTTTCATTTTGTACAGTGAATGCTGGTTTTGTCTGATGGTGCAGATAGCCCAGATAGGTTCTTACGAATCAATTTTTTAGTTAAATAATAGCCTTCACTCCCGAGAAATTGCAAATATGTTACCCATGTGATCCGCCTACAACTTTAATTCCGAAAACTTCGAAAACATCTCCAGTCAGTGTTGCTTTCTTTCACTGCCTCATATTTTCCCTTGTGCTGTGGCTGTTAACAAGTACTTTCACCGCATTTCCAATGTTTCTTAAAGTGTTCGGATGTTAAGAACATACCAATAACTTTTATATTTTTTCCATATCGTGGTCAAAATGACCGGAACGAAACAAAATTAACTTGTAATCGAGGATTTCGCTGGATAGGTGGTAGTACTTCAAATGACTCGATACGTCGTCCCGGTGTCCTAGCGGATTTGGACCCCCTGCGCGGATTTGGACCCCCCAACAAAACTGAGTGAAAACATCATCCTTAACGTTTTTAATAAAGAAGTATGCTATTAATTCAAAACATATGTATTGCCAATGCATACGAGCTGGCAGCCGGAAATGACCCAACGGATGTTTCTTTTGACCAAGGGAAAATGGGCAAGCTTTTAGTTTAATGTTTGGAGAAAGGTCGTTTTTGAACCTTTTCCGTGATAGTCGAACACCGCTAGATTCAATGAGAGACAAGCCTGTGACACTTATTTCTTTTGTTGTTGTTCAATACCCGAGTGTTGGGACGACATGGTACAGAGCGAGTCGTGTGAGGAATGGTTTCACATGAGCTGCGAGGTATTTAAGACTGCCCCGGAGGGCGAGAGGTTCTGCATTGTCTGTAGACCGCCAGACTCTAGACGTCTTCGTAACTGTTAAGGTGTTATATAACCTTAAACAGTCAGTCTGAACAAGAACGAAGTAATTACTCCTACTACAAGTCGTTCGTAAAGCCTTTGATAAGTAAAAATGTTCTATTCTGAACTATAAGAACACTCAGCTTATTTTCAGATGCAAATCAACTTTAATGTCTACGTTTTAACAAAAGTGGAAACTATTAAATCGAACTCAATCTTATTCTCTAATTTTAACGATTAGTAACCGTTGAGGGATCCGAAATAATTAGAAAATCAGACTGAGTTATTTTTGTGACGGGACGCAATAGTCTCCACTATTGTTATGACGTTTCGTATCAATATTGATTCACGTTAGAAGGAGCAAAGATTTACTGTAACAACTTCATTAGTTCGAATGCAGTAGTTTGTTCGCATCTAATTCTTGCATATACTGTACGACTCGCTGTAATAAATGCGGCAGAATTGGAACGAAATGGCTGTTTTTCTCTACCTTTTTTGAGGAATGTTGTGTTGTGATTGAAAAGAAGATCGACAAAAAGCTTGCAACTAGAATTAGTTATCAAATATGATACAAACGATGCTTAAAAGGAAAGTTTGGTTGGGGGTCCAAATCTGCGAAGGGGGGTCCGTATCCGCCAGCGGATTTGGACCGGGGGTCGAAAATCCGCGGGGGGTTCAAATCCGCTATGATACCGGCATTCCAGGAAAGAAATCGGGGCTGAAATACCTAAAGCCACTCCAATCTTTGCTTTCAATGAAACAAGTAAATTCTCCTTAAAATGTAAAATTTTTCATTCTATTTTAATAACTTTTGATTCTAATTCGTTATATTAACTAATTTTGGTTTCAATGTGTAGAACCCGCGAAACTGGCTATATGGCAAGGGGAAAAATTTGCATAGTCACGTCACGCAGTATATCAAGCCGGGTTTGTCCAGTTGAATTTGATCGCAGGGAAATGTCGAGTTTGTCGCTCAAAACCGTTGTGGTCTATAAGAGCATAACATAATTAATGATGGAAACAAATTTTCAAAAAGGAGAGCTAGTTCATCGGGTTCCGTGTACTAAATCTCGGGAGAAACTGCAAGAACTGTTTCAGAGTGTATGCGTGTTGTTTTGTAACTATAAACACTGTAACCTATTTTTACTTGTTTTTGTGTCCTTTTAAGCAACGCGATATGTCTGTTATGACCAGAGTGCCAAATTTTATTCTTTAATTTTGACCTTCTCCACACTGTGCGTAATTCGTGACCTGTATTTCAACGTTAATTATCGAGAAGGCGCCTTCTGATCACCGTTGTCTTCTTTGTAAGTCACACAAGCGCGTGAGCGTTACGACCGATCACGTTTACGCAACGTTCTAGGACAACTCGGCATCTATTCTCCATTCAGTTTCTATGAAAACCTAAAATTCTCAACGTTAAAGATAAACGAACGAAGTTTGAACGGTCAAAAGGAGATCTTGGTCAATTTTCAGAATCATGCAACTGACCTTTGACACGAGCGCAATTGAACAAACACATGGATTTGCGTTGTTTTAAGAAGTTGGTGTATGGAAGCTATAACCGCGGGTTTGAGACAATCCGTGACCTCATTGGTGTATAAACTATGCACTGATATGCTTTTTCAGCCCCATTAACGCCTGAATTTTGAGAATTCTTTCGTACAAAGTAGCGAATTTTTAACATGCAAATGAAGGTCGAAGAGAAGGGTCTCCTCAGACCACGCTGGTATGAAAAATATTTCAGCTGAAGTTTCCATATTTTGTCTGTGAACTAACTGAGTACATCTTGTAACTTCTAGCAAGATAGAATTCCGTGAGCTACATTGTTGCAGTCGCTGCTTTTGCAGCAGAGAAGGGAGTGACTGAAATTTTTAAGACAAGCAATGATTTTCTGCATCGGCCACGTTCGAAACCTATAATGCAATTGTGACTCATGATTAACATATGTTTTATTTGAAATTGATCTAAATTGGCATTTTTTCAAACTTTGAAATTTTGCTTTCAATGATTGCACAGTTTTAAACATCCGCTCTCGGCTAAAACAGTAGAGTTACGCGACCGCCTCAGGGAGGGAGAGTTCCCGATTAGGCCATCATACAATCCTTGCCTTGCGTACTCATCCGTCTGGAGCCTTTGTTCTAACAAACTGAGAAGGATATTCGGGCCAAGCCTTTATCAGCTAAAGATGGCAGTGGTAATCCTTATTCTAACCACTTTTCTTTGGATGAGCTGTGAGTATACAACAAAAGTTAAAATTACTATTGTTTGACTTCAAGTTTAAAGAGCTAGTCAGTATAAACTCTATCATGGTGTTTATAATGTTTTTCATGCTTTATAGCACACGCCACTATGGTATCGCATTGAATTAATGTAAATAAACATCAACTTAGGACATGAATCGGCAAAAACAGTTAATTGTGTCCGATAGCCGCAACCTCATACAAATTAGGGACCTTAAGCAAACCTCGACGGCGACGGCAACGAGGACATGGAAAAACAAAAGATCTAATTGTATGAACAATAGCGCAGCACGTGCGTTTTAAAACTTTGTACATTTCTTAGCCGTCCTCTGTAAAACAACAACGTGAAATCACCACAATTTGCGTCGCCTTCGAACCGAGACCACGACGGAAATTATTTTAATTTCCGTCTGGAGCTCAACGTTTCTTTTATACGTTATGCTGAGGTTGAGGTGTGGCGCCATATGAGACCGTGAAAAAATGCAGCCATTTTTGAAATTCTGATTGAAGGCAAAAATTAATTTTTTAATCGAAGTCTTCCTTGGCGTTGCCGTCCTGACTGCTTAAGGTCCCTAATATTCCAGTAACTCCAGTGTCCATGAACGTTCTTTTTCTTCTTTTTTTGTTTGTTTGTTTGTTCAGTCTATTTTTGCTCGCTGATGTTGCCTACGGCTTCCTCGCTGCTTTGGACTCTAACAGAGGCAAATTTCTCAATTCTCTCCTTTTAAGTTGTGTTCCGAATGTCGAACATCATTTTCCTCTACTGGTTGGAATAAAACTAGTGGCTTCCAACGAGCGATTGGCTAGAAAAATATACCGTAGTTATTCGGTTATAAGGCGCACTCGGCTATAAGACGCACCCCCAATTCGGCAACTTCATTATTGCATGTTTTCAAACTGAGAAAATCGCTAAAATACTTGGTTATAAGGCGCACCGTTGTTTGGGGAGTAAAGATCGGTCAAGTTTATTGTAAATTCTTTCATAAACTTACAAAAAAGCGAAAAAGTCGCGTATTGATTTTAGTTTACCGTTAATCAACAAAAGCAGAATTGTCGCACACGCGACCACGCACACAAACGAAAGCCTTGATTAAACAAGATGTACCGCCGAGAATGCAGGTCTCAGTGCACTAAAAAGGCTGAAAGAATGAAGAAGGTATTTACTTCTTCGCTTGTTTATTTTCGTTTCGTCTTGTGACGTATCAAATTACTAAGCACGTGCTCTCGAGCACGTATCACATCTATGCAAATTTGACTTCGCTTGTCTTTTCAGAACCACCATATTCATAAAAGTCAATGTGTGTGTGTCATTTTATTTGCTTGAAATCGTACCAGTAACTGTGATCAAAAAAAATTGTTTCGGGAAAATATTCGCCTGTAAGACGCACCCAAACTTTGGCGGTAATTTTTAGTAGAAATTAGGAATTTCTTGAAAAAAACGGTGCGCCTTATAACCGAATAACTACGGTAGGATAATTTCCCTAATGAAAAAAATCAAAACATTTCCCTAAAATTGCATTTTTTTTCGTTGAGAAAGAAACATCGTCTTAATTGAATGTTAACTATGTGTATTAGAGTTCAGCTCGGTCTTGAGTGACTCGATGACATTGCTTCGTGAATTTTCGGGCAAAGAAAAAAAGAGGATCGCATGAAATTGATGAAAAAGAAGAGTTTGAACTGGGTGGGAGATTAAAAAAAAAAATAATTCAAAACCACCGTTTGTCTGCCGCTCAGCATCTATATGTTAAATCAATGGCCACGTTTTCTAATTTGCAGATCAATTTAAAAAAAAAAGACAAAAAAAAACAAACAAACAAACAAAAAAACTGGTAATCAGATTTTATGGAAACAGAAAGGTTTGATACAAGCAAAGTGCAACTCCCCAAATATTTTTATTCGGAAATTGATGCAACCTGGGTTTTCGTCGATCCTTGAAATTCCGTTTTCGGTTAGGACGAAAGATTTGAGCTTCCGTCTTTGGGTTATGACAATATCGTTATCCGTTGTTGCCTCTTTGACCGCCTAAACCGCCTTTCCAACGTGCTTACTTCAGTCAATCATCCCGTGGGGCCCGTAACACGCAGCTCCTTTGCGATTTGTCCTCTCCACCCCTTTGTTGATGAGAGTTGTTGTCCTTTTCATACTAAGCATTTTCGATCTCCTGTCAGTATCTGTAGATCGTTTATGAAAAAATTGAATGAAATGCCATTCTTTGACTAGAGATTTTGGAACTCGCCAGCACTTACTCTATCAAAATAAAATTATTTTTTGAAAACACAAACCAGATGAACATTGGAGAGATGAACGGGCAAGAACATATAATCGACAGCCGCACAAGGACAAATCAAATTTCGACCACACATTTGGTATTCCGAAGTTCATAAACGCATTTGTCCTCGTTTTTTTCAAGAAAGTTTGTTTGTTATTTTTAGCATTATTCCTATACAATAGTTTCGTTTTCGATGGCTTGCGGTCGGTGACTTGAAGGGTAATGAGAACATTCACAATGTTTTTGCTTTTAAATTGAACTGCCGAGTGACAGGACTCTCCTTTCGATCCTTTCTCTCGGTCGTAGGACACTCTGTTTTCAGGGTCTAATTCTAGTGGAACTGTTCCTGTCAAAACTGAAAATGACAAGGTTAAGTTAATGTTCTAATCTGTTAGAACATACCCTCCGGATTGCAAGAACATTGTAACCTTTTAAAAAAATAAGCAAGAAAAGACAAAGAGAAATGGTTTCATGAACAATGTTCGTTCAATATACCCACCCGCATAAGCAATCATTTTAGTTTTCGATCCCTTTTGATAGCAATTCTAGTAAATTTGCCAAACTGATTTTGGTTTTCACCCGTCGTAAGAGAGCAGATATTGGCCAATTATTCTGCTCTCTTGCGATTATCAACCACAAAGCATTCAGGTGTCATCATTCTGAGTTAAAGCTTTTAAGTTGACAGAACTTTTACCATCGGGTTCATATTTCCCTCTTTATCCCTGCTTTTTCCCTCAGCTTTTGTTTTTGTTGTTTTTGTTGTTTCGTTCGGCGAAGGGTTCTTCCAAGTGCGTGAAAAACTTGATTAATTGGTGTTTTAGGTTGGAATGAAATAGGTGGCTTAGAAATAATCACCGAACCAAATGAAACGACAATTTCCTTCACTGGATCCAACCAAACATTTGCTTGGAATTTTAACCTCACTTTGGAGGAGAAATCAAAGCAAGCGACAGTCATCTTTGCTCACTGGAGTAAGGAAGGCGACAGGATTTCAGGTTACCACTGGGTAACAGTTATTCGAGAATCAAATGGAAGCGAATCAGTGAAAAAATATACAGGGGCCTTAATCACAAGGCGTTTACAGTGGGTGGGAGACTTGGCCCGTGGCTTTGTGGCTTTCCAACTTCTGAACGTTCAATTAAAAGATTCTTCCGATTATGGGATCAGGTTCTGCTTTGATGATTGCCTTAATTTAAAAGCAAGTGGGTTTACACTATTCGTTCAGGTAGGAAATAATTTCTTTTCCAAAAAAATCTGTAACTTTCTAAAAGAGTACTCCACAGTTCGAGAAATGGTCATTTGCGCATTAGATAAACTGGAAGAGAAGAACTTTGTCAGGTAAAACGCGCGAGCTATAATCACTTCTTTTACATTATCAATGATGTCTGTTTCATCAAAAATCTCTTTGTAACGCAAATATCTTCTTTCAGGTAAGCTTAGCCAGTTTCCATCATTCATTACGCTCAGCTCAATGTAGTCATTAGCTTCTTTAGAAAGAGAAATATCATGCAAATTCAGTCAAATGTATTTAAATATATGATTATAAATAGGGAAACTTCTTTTGTGATCGAAAAATAATCGAGGTTAGTATTTACTAATAGAGTGGATAGCTTTGAAGGCACGTTCTCTTTGGCTACTCAAACTCCGAATGCCCTTTTTTTATCAAAATTTCAACTCCGAAGATTTCTTTTCTAGTGTTCTGATTGGTTGACTCGACTCCGGTTATCAGCTCATATTCCGAGTCACCATATATGGAAATGCTGTGTCAACTGTTGTAGAGCAGAATAATGCTCCAAACATTCAAACGTTCAGGATTTCATGAAATTTAATAAAACAATTTTTCCATTCGCGCTTGTTGGATACGAGATTGGCTACAGACAACTCGACGCAATGTGCCTTGTTGGCTCTTTACCGTCTCATATCCAGCGCACGCTCGTGGAAAAATTGTTAATCGAGTGAATCGAGCTGATTGGCTGTTTCGGAAGTGAATAATAAATTTACCTCAGAGTCGGTAAAAGAAGTGAATATTTACCTCACTGCTTCGTGGTTCAGTAAATATCCACCACTTTTCATCTCCTCTATCGTGATTATTGATAACTTTTACCTCCAAGGAACGCGCGCAGGAATTGCAGGAGGAATCGTTGTAGGAATAATCGATTTAGAACTTTTTCTGTGCCATACTGTCTCAATGTTTTAGTACATACTAAAGCAAATACTCACCTCAGTGTCGGTGGCTTGCGATGGATATTTACCGAGCTGCAAAGCGGCAAGGTTAATTTCCACCACTACCAGTGGTGAATGGTTGTGAAGTATACGAGTTTTCCCAGGTTTGCTTCAATGCTATGTTTTTTAGAGTTTTCACAGGCGGAGAGCCACTTTGTGAAGTCTTGTAATTAGACTTAAGAACAACATTTCTGCCCTCACAGGATCCACCTCCATCACCAACCAGACCACCAGGTAATCCCTCTCTTTTCTCCCCTTCCTTAGAATACATAGATAACCGTTAACCGTTAACCGATCGATGTTCAATGCTTATAATTTTTTTTGTTATTAGACAGGCTATCCTGAAAATGTACAACTCCATATGCTCAAATCACGACTGTAAATGTTAGTGATGGAGTCAGTTGATTGACGCGCAGATTGAGTTAGCGAGCCTTTTTGTGAGGAGTTAGCCTGACATAAGTTTAGAAGGGGTTATAGATGTTCCTAATGATAGAAATGGTGCAACCGTGTCTGATGTAGACGCTTGAGGTCATAAACATTCTTTGTCATGCAGAACCTGAAAATATAACCCTCGAGATTAAGGAAGGAGAACCACTGAACATCACTTGCCGTGCCAGAATGAGGACGGAAAGTACATCTGTCATGTGGCTGAAAGACAACCGACTCATCGAGAAAGGACGAAACAGATTCCTCTTCATTCAAAGTATAAATAAATCACAAGCTGGAAGCTATATGTGTGTTTCAATTTCCCAATTCGGAGATCACAGCCCGTCTTTTACTGCTGTTGATGTTCTATGTGAGTATTTTGAAGTGTGCCCAACTCATCGGTTGCTAGTTTAAAGTGAAGCCTCTATTTTCTAACAAGGGAATCCCGCTATCCATCCATAGATTTTTCCATAAAATTAATGCACTTTTGAAACATACCAGGAACTATTTGATGCAAAAATTTCACACTAGGCCATAGAAGAACCGATTAAGCCCGAGGAGTGTTTACCCTTGTGTAAATTTTTGTCCAAACAGTTTTCCTTCTTTCAGATGCACCGAAAATAATCAACCCTAATAAAAAAGTGGCTTTGGAGTTAACAAGAGGAAATTCAACCAGGCTTAAATGTACAGCCGATGCAAATCCTTCCCCAACTTTCACTTGGTACACGCACGATGGAGAGATTACGCAAGGCTTTTCACATAACTCAAACTCAAGTTCCTTGATAGTCACTCCCATAAATGATAGGGACTTTACAAGTTACATATGTTTAGCAAGCAATAAGATAGCGATTGACTCGGTGACGTTCACGTTGCACGAAAAGGGTAAGTGTAATAACAGCCTGGTCACGATATCTATTTTGAGTTAGAGCAGTTACCAAAGCCTTGCAACCCAGGAGACCTCAAAGATCATTATGCGGATAGAAACTCGGTTAGTTACACGAATCCACAAATAACGAGGAACATAGAATGCATGCACACGGAATTAACGCTTAGAAAGTGGACTGTAATTATTATGACTGAGCCTAGTTGATAATAATGTCTTTTACTGGTCAAAACTATGATAAATCGTGAAATATCCCACAGGTATCAGAAAACACCCAGAGTTGCACGAAGAACCTGAAACAAGTGCCTCCAAAAATGTCAATGCAGGTTAGTTCCTCAGGAGAAAAGTTCATGAATATTACTCTCTAGCATTCGGAATTCTTTTGAAAACAGTTACTTAGCTTAAATTCTGCATACTGCGCGCTCAATTTGACCGCCTATATGTGAACATTTTCGCACGAGCTTGAACGTTATTTAGGTTATACCGTTGAGCCCTTCAGAAATTATAATTTGGAATTTTCCGTCGTTATATTATGCACGACATAGCAATACATAACATCGTTTTACATCAAGGAGATATGCTTTGTGATGAAAAATTCCAGTTTTTTTCTGGCGGGAAGACGCATTGGATCAACTTTCGGGCCATTTCATAGGGCAGACTGTGCTAACTGGGAGAAAATTCCAAATTTTAGGGAGTAAAGAAATATTTCAGTTTTCTAAGTTTCCTTGGGTTTTGTTAGAACCTGTATTTTCAATGTCCTTAATTGCCGATTATATTAGATTATGAGTGATTTAGAAGAACTATAAACATTCTTTGTCATGCAGAACCTGAAAATATAACCCTCGAGATTAAGGAAGGAGAACCACTGAACATCACTTGCCGTGCCAGAATGAGGACGGAAAGTACATCTGTCATGTGGCTGAAAGACAACCGACTCATCGAGAAAGGACGAAACAGATTCCTCTTCATTCAAAGTATAAATAAATCACAAGCTGGAAGCTATATGTGTGTTTCAATGTCCCAATTCGGAGATCACAGCCCGTCTTTTACTGCTGTTGATGTTCTATGTAAGTATTTTGAAGTGTGCCTAACTCATCGGTTGCTAGTTTAAAGTGAAGCCTCTATTTTCTAACAAGAGAATCCCGCTATCCATCCATAGATTTTCCCATAAAATTAATGCACTTTTGAAACATACCAGGTACTATTTGATGCAAAAATTTCACACTAGGCCATAGAAGAACCGATTAAGCCCGAGGAGTGTTTACCCTTGTGTAAATTTTTGTCCAAACAGTTTTCCTTCTTTCAGATGCACCGAAAATAATCAACCCTAATAAAAAAGTGGCTTTGGAGTTAACAAGAGGAAATTCAACCAGGCTTAAATGTACAGCCGATGCAAATCCTTCCCCGACTTTCACTTGGTACACGCACGATGGAGAGATTACGCAAGGCTTTTCACATACCTCAAACTCAAGTTCCTTGATAGTCACTCCCATAAATGATAGGGACTTTACAAGTTACATATGTTTAGCAAGCAATAAGATAGCGGTTGACTCGGTGATGTTCACGTTGCACGAAAAGGGTAAGTGTAATAACAGCCTGGTCACGATATCTATTTTGAGTTAGAGCAGTTACCAAAGCCTTGCAACCCAGGAGACCTCAAAGATCATTATGCGGATAGAAACTCGGTTAGTTACACGAATCCACAAATAACGAGGAACATAGAATGCATGCGCACGGAATTAACGCTTAGAAAGTGGACTGTAATTATTATGACTGAGCCTAGTTGATAATCATGTCTTTTACTGGTCAAAACTATGATAAATCGTGAAATATCCCACAGGTATCAGAAAACACCCAGAGTTACACGAAGAACCTGAAACAAGTGCCTCCAAAAATGTCAATGCAGGTTAGTTCCTCAGGAGAAAAGTTCATGAATATTACTCTCTAGCATTCGGAATTCTTTTGAAAACAGTTACTTAGCTTAAATTCTGCATACTGCGCGCTCAATTTGACCGCCTATATGTGAACATTTTCGCACGAGCTTGAACGTTATTTAGGTTATATCGTTGAGCCCTTCAGAAATTATAATTTGGAATTTTCCGTCGTTATATTATGCACGACATAGCAATACATAACATCGTTTTACATCAAGGAGATATGCTTTGTGATGAAAAATTCCAGTTTTTTTCTGGCGGGAAGACGCATTGGATCAACTTTCGGGCCATTTCATAGGGCAGACTGTGCTAACTGGGAGAAAATTCCAAATTTTAGGGAGTAAAGAAATATTTCAGTTTTCTAAGTTTCCTTGGGTTTTGTTAGAACCTGTATTTTCAATGTCCTTAATTGCCGATTAAATTAGATTATGAGTGATTTAGAAGAACTATTCTCTCGAAAACAGATGGCAGAGAGTCACTCACCGAGTACCTGTCTATAACAGCGGGCTTAGCGGTGATCGCGATCTTTGCTCTCTTCATCAAACGATATATGGCTAAGAGATCCAGAGGACAGACAAATCAGCGAACACGTGAGTAAATATCTGGTTAAAAACTAACCTTATAAATGATTTTGACATACATTGTCTTATAGTTTTATACGCTGTTAATTAATGATGCTGTGAGTAACGTGAATTAATTTTGCCATTTCAGGTGAAGAAGCCGATGAGCTCCAAATGTATGTATTTATTAATTCCTGAATGAATTATCACTCCCTATCAAACAGGAGGCAAGAGGTTTTCGCAGAATGAATACTTTTAAAAATAATGACTAACAACATAACTAAAAAGCAAACCGACCTAATTCACTTTAGTCGAATGTTTTCTAGTGCCGTTTGTGTCTAACTCCAGTCATTTTTCCCGTCATCTCTGCCACTCCTCACTCTCCCCCTTCCCCCACCAATATGGCTGAGTATAGCCTAAGCTCTGACGTTATCTATTACCAGGGTGTCCTTGAGATCGCAAAATACATGCAACGAGTTTTTTTCCAAATGGAGCTTGCAACGTATCCTCATCGGGTGACCCTGAATGGGAAATACCGCGAGCAAGGCTGAATGTGGAGAAGGTTATTGGGCGTGGCGCATTTGGCGTGGTGTCACGGGGCTTAGCGTTTGATTTGCCGGGAAAACCAGGATGGACTGTGGTAGCAGTGAAGAGCGTTCAAGGTTACATTTCCCTTATTTTCCACTAAAAAGACCTTTTGTACACTTGGGAACTAATAAAAAAGACTCTAATACAAGAAATACATGTACACTTAAAACCATCAAGCTTTGATCCGAGCAATGTCGTAAACATTTGATGAAATGATCAGTGTGGCGCTGGGGAGAAGTTAGATTTTATAGAATTGGTCATTTTAATGTTGATTAAATTCTGATTTAAATGGAATTTTGGTTTGTTGGTATTTACAAAGATGATGCTTCAGTAAAAAAGAGAAGGCAGACCTGTTGTCAGAGATGTCACTCCTTAAACACCTAGATCCTCATCCTCACGTCATCCGCCTTTACGGTTGTGTTACTACTGAAGGTGAGCTTGAGGTAGTGGCATCTTTGCTGTCAATGTCATCTGTGGAAGTGTTGCCGGGGTGCACGAGTCTTGCTTCATCGTTACGTCGTCCTTACATGTATATGCGTCAGTTACAGTTTGTAACTAGGTGTGCTGAGATTATGCAATGATCTCAGCACGCCTTGAACTACAATGTGTAAATTACATAGTGGAAAGGCCTTGTTTCCAAATATTCTTAGATAAGGGGGTCTGCAAAGTTGCTTACAGCTCGCACAGCTGATAAAGAAGCTCCTGAGTCTAACCAAAGTCCTCTGAAGAGTGTTGTAAACGCATAGGAGAAAATTTATTTGGACAAATGGACTATATAATCAACATCATCTTCATAATTAGTTTACTTTATGCGACACTTGTTAAAGACTTCTAAAGGAAATCCAGTCAGTCATGAACATGATCAGCTAACTCAAGTGTCTAGTGAATAAATCGAGAAATAGCTGATAACCAGAATATATTGTTAATTGAAGGCCACTTATAGTTAAAGATGAAATTTCTCGTATTTCAGCCCGGCCACTCGTAGTTGTCGAGTATGCACAGTATGGTGACTTGCTTGGGTACCTGAGGAAGAGCCGAGGAGTTCGAGATAACTACTACAGTGATCCCTCGGTAGAGCCCCGCACCAGCCTCACTTCCAAGCAACTGCTTCGGTTTGCTTGGCAGATCAGTGATGGAATGGACTACTTGTCGAAGAAAAAGGTTACAAAGTCACCTGTTGTGTTTCTATACGAAAGCTGGAGAGCATTGTTACAACAATTCAAAAATTTAATCTGCGACTAACTCGCTGCTACTTTGCTCACAGGATGTGTTGGAGAAGTCTGTGTGTTCCAAGATTTCATTACCCTTACCAATCTTGCTAACTCTGGGACATTAAGGCCCTTCAGATAAATACGTTATAATTATTACTATTCTAATGTTGATTTTTTTAAGTATCAGGACAGAAGTATAGATATGAATATCTATGTTAACCCAAGTAGTTCGAAAGTCAATTTATAGCTATATTTCGTCACTAGATCATTCATCGCGACTTAGCCGCGAGAAATGTTTTGGTTGGTGACGAAGACGTTTGCAAAATCACAGATTTTGGAATGGCCAGAGATGTTTGGGCAGAGGATATATATGTTCGAACCCACGAGGTAATTCTTCACAACATATTTGGAAATAACTTGTATCTGAGCCGATTGATTTAAAAGAGTGTACTTGTTAAAAAAAAGCACAGTTGTTAGAAGTTACTAAACAGCCCACGTGAAATTAACCTGCTCATCATTTTTTCGAAAACCACGCAACTGCAAAGTGTGCACGTTTGCGATAGGGCAATTTAATATAACATAAACGATAACTTTCAGTTTCGAAATGCAATATGGAGAGAAAGTGTTTAAACTCACTCATGATTATGTTATTGTGATCTTTGGTTTTAGGGCCGTCTTCCAATTAAATGGACGGCTCCTGAGGCTCTATTTGGAAGTGGTGCATATACGACACGCAGTGACGTGTGAGTTTGTTTTGTACATAAACATTCGCCCAGATATCACAAGAACATATTGTGAAATTGCCTGAAATAATCAAAATCATAGTAGCGTGCGTGAAAGTCCTATCAAATTGCTAAAGAGCCACCTTGGTAAAAATTTTAATTTCGCAATGGCCATGCATCCATAAGATGACATGTTTGGTTTTACTTCGGCTGAAACTTCCCGTTCAGTTTAGCAGCGAAGTTCCAAATTTTCAAGACTTTTTTTTTCTGTTCTATCCCGATTGAGATAGACCTCAGGAAGCTCAAAATGGAACGAAAATATGCTAAATAGTACTCGTTTCGAAAAAAGATTAACATGTCGCTGTTTCAAGCGACGAAATTAGTTCTGAGTCGACGAAACTTAATTCTTAAACGCGATGGGAATTATGACCGAAAATAAAAACTGAGTTTTGTGACTTAAACCGAACCTTTGCGACGTTAGGGACTCTGCATTAGAACAGGAAATATTATTTTGAAGTTTTGATGTGTCCCAAAAGTGTTGTTTAAAAAGAAGATTTTGTTTTGAAAGAGTTCAGAATTTTTCACACAAAGCTACGCAATTTTTCTAATCGTAAATTCAGGTAAACAACCATTAAAGCAGGTAAATCTTCCACCCGGGTCTCGTAAATGCAAGAAGTTTTGAAAGTTTTTCGTTTAGATTTTTGAACGATTGATATATTTATATGTGTCGATATTTCTTAAAAGTATTTTCCAATAGAATATTTAATTTTTAGAACCGTGCAATTTTAAAATTTTCACAATTTTTAACACAAACCTATACAATGTTATGGCCGTGAATTCTGGTAAACAACGATTCAAGCATGTTGAATCTTCTGCGCGATATCGC